TGCTAATTGGAGCTCGATTACACACAGAGAACCACTACACAGTTTGCTTGAACACCAGGTGGAGAAATGCGTCTAATCTGCTGGGTAAATTCACGCAATTCCGTCATCCAAACGTTGGAAAGAGTACTGGTACAAAATCTATTGAAACATCTGAAGAAGGTACATCGAGAGCAGTCGATTTCCTCCATAAGAGCTGCTGCACACTCATCGTAACATTCTCTGCCTCAAGTTTAGGAAAGCTGAGATACACAAATGTCAGCCAAAATATTAAGCGGTAGCCGTTCAAATACCTCGGTTTGCATTGTAGTACAATGCAGTTAATAAACTGGGAAGAGAAACATAAGACGCGTTTTGTTGCGGTACACCAAGCTGGGTGAGTGTAAATAAGGACTTTACCACCTTTGTTTCGGTAGGTGCATTGGCTGTCAACCTGAAGACAAATTAACTCCGCACCCTATAAGACAGCATTATCCACAACTACCTTGACTCAGTTTCCTTCCAAAAATAATGACGCCTATTTGCAAAAGTTCTTCGGAAAGGTTTGTGCACCTTAGTTCTCCCAATTTTCCCAGGAGAGAAAGGTTGTTGACGTTTAGCAATGCATGCACGTGCAGATCTCCCAGATTTTGTCTTTTGAAGTGCAATCCTCCATTCATCACAGAATTTTTGTACAGAATTAGTACGTGCGCCGGCCTTGATGGGATCCTCCCTTGTTTAATAAAAAGCAGTGGTAATAACTTCCTTCTGCTTTTTCCCAATCACTTTACACTCTATTTTAACAACGCAGTAGACACCACCCAATGGAAAACTTCTGTCGTTATCCCGCGACAAAAAAATGGAGCTGCCCACGACGTTAAAAACTTTCGTCCCATCAATCATACACTCATCATATCTAGAATAATAGAAAGGGTTGTGAAAGCTGAACTATTTATACTTTTGAACAATACTAACAACATCAGCAATTCGCAACACGTCTTAATGAAAGGTCTATCCTGCGCAACATGCCAGACTGAATTTTAGACCAAAAACGGCCGCTATTGACAACGGAAACAGTGTCGTAAACCTGTTTCTGCATATGCCAAAAGCCTTCGATGGTGCCTCACAGAAGGTTACTAAACAAACTGAAGGCTATAGGCATTGGAGAACCGATATTCGCTTAGCTAACTTCATATTTAATTGGTAGACAGTAGGTGGTGCGCATCGGCGACCATTTCTCTAAACCGAAAATAATCACTTGTGGAGTGATTCAAGGGAGTGCCCTTGGTCCTCTTCTTTCTCTAATTTATATTAACGGTAATTTCTAGAGAATAAGAGATGGTGTTACATTTATCTTTGCTGACGACATTAAAGTTGTCTACTCAACCAAGTGCAAATACTCAGGAAGTCGTACGTCTCATTCAGAATGACCTATATGATCTTGACTCCTGCTGCCAACTATGCCAGAGGTCACTTACCATGGACAAGCGTAATATTTTGTTGTACAAATGAAAAGTACTGCCATACAGTTTATTACTACAAGGCGCGTATATGTCGTAATGCAGGGCAGTTCGCAACTTGGGCGTGTGATATTCAGTCACGTTTAACTTTTCTGAACACTGTGACTTTCAAGTTTCGAAAGCCATGAATACCATCGGTTACATCTGACATCATTTTTATCTCACGGAATCTCGTATATCGCGTTATAAAACATATGTATTGTCGTGTATGGAATGCCGTTCAGTGGTCAAGTATAATCTGCAGAAACTTACCAGCATGCTCTTGAGAGGGTCCAGATACACTTCACGATATTTCTCAAAGTTGACAAACAGAGAGCGATGTGATAAACTTGTATTTGACCCATTTCGGTTTCGGATAATGAATCTGAACCTATGTTTTCTTTACCGAATCACAAATTGTCAAATTCGCAGTCTTGAAAACGGTGTTCACATATACTTAAGCAGCCGTTAACCAATCCGTAACAAAGAGGTAAATGTCATGATTCCAAATTTACTACGAGAATCAGAGAACATATATTTCTAACCCAATAATCAATGATTTGGAATAAGCTACCAAGTGATATCAGAACATGCTATATACTTTTCAATGAAAGGCTTGCGATCAGTATGCATTTAACCGTCCAAAACGTGATTGGCATGTTCGGGACGTCACAGCCCCTAGATAACGCATTCGAAAACGGTATCGATGGTGCCTGAATAAATTTTTGTAACACATAAACATAATATTTCGGACAACAGCCCCTTTCATTACATTTTTCCTCGGCCCCAACATCTGTCATATGATTATGACGAATCCTGATTTAATGGCAGTAAGATAGTAGCAGAACGGTTTTGATTACTCTGTATTACCTAATGTGAAATTGCGCCCATGTTCATTTCGGAAAATGTATTAATACAATGTCACGGAAAGTTTGTACCATTATTTGATCTGTTCATTTTAAGAAACAGCTTCTCTCATATTCGAGAAATATACAATGTATTTATTCAGTTATTTAATTATTTAATTATTACGAATTATGCTAATTTGTTTTCAACGGGGCCCTTCGGAGTAACCCAATTCATAAGCGTGGAAACACAGCGATTTCAAGATATAACGCGAGTAGAACGAGTGATGAATGAAAACAAGTACGCTTCAGTTAAAAATAACGAGTGAGGACGTGTGTGAGAAAATTCCACAAGTAGGTCGTAGAGCACAGCCAAATTGTAATCGCCTGCCACTACTGCGATATGTTCAAGATTGCTGATAAATTCTCGGATTTCGTTTTAACCTTTATTTGTGTGTTACTTAAAATTTAGGCTCTTCTTGATGTGGAGGATGGGACGCAGTGGATTCGCAGTACTATTACAATCACCTAGTTCAGCGTCATTTGAAATACTGCGGTACGTACTAAACATTCAAGCATTTTACTATTCACTGATATGTTAAAGAGGCTTATTTGTGTGGATTGCTTTATTTCTCTACCGGAAACTTCTTAATAGTAGGCGACACATCACGGTCAATGATGAATAATTTTGTAGATCTTTTGCTGGCGCTACTGCCGAAACGTGAAAACTCAATCTACTGCCTTGTTGGGGAATTTGGTATAGTGATACGGTATTCATAAGTATTGGTCAGAGAATACGGTGTCTTTAGAGACCCGACGAGACCGCCAATTTAATGTTTTTAACTTAAACGATAATCCGTTGTTTCATTATCCTGAGTGGGTGTATCTCAGTAGTTAAAGACAACGCAAACAACCTTACGCGCAATCGTTTTACAGCAAGACCAAAATATCATTCCAATTCGTCAAACGACGAATGTGACACACAAGTTTATCGTGACTCAGTAAGCGAAATTGAATCCATAACAAAGCTAGTTATCAAACATACAAATTTGTCCTTGAAACACGAGAACCTAAGTAGATAGTAACCATCGACTTGCTCTATATTGCTCTGCAGAATTAATCTAGCCTCTGCTGAACGGCCCCTCTTCGTTGTCAGTGTGTTAAATTCAGACACAGAAAGTTAATGTCTATTACCAGATTACAAGGAAATTGTTAACAGTGGACGTCTAGTAAATACAAGTGCACCGATTGTAAACTGAAATATTCTATGCCAACTTGACTACTGTCAACTTTGGAGGCCTTTGGAAGCTCTACATGGCGAAAGTTTCCTGTGTTGCATGAGTGTATCACAAACCAAATACCAAGTGATTTTCGTTTTCAAACCGTGTAGTCTACATTCCTCTCTTCATCGGCACTGACCTAGCAGCCAGTGTTGAGAGTTTATTTGAGCGGTGACCCAAGTTCATCATTGTCCTTTGTTCTAACTACTGAACTTATTATACTGGTGCTTCAGTCATCATTTTTGACTGATGTCTCATGGGTTGCAATATTCTCAACTTAAAAGACATGTCAAGATAACACTTGTGCCATAGAAGGAATCACATAACGTCGTCCGCAACTTTTTACGCCGTTGCTGTATAAGTTAAAAACACAAGATCACTAAAAGGCATGTGAAAAGCACAATTTAGAATCAGTGATGTCAGTCCAGATGTGGAAGATATACATTGATTATACGGGAACAAAACTGTTTTCATTGCTCAGAGAAAGCACAGAAGGAAGTGTTGCTAGAAGCGTGATTCTCCAACGAAGTTCGATGAACAAGCGTATAAACCTCTACCCAAGAAACCAATTATTTCTGCGGAAATATCTCAAGTAAAACGAAAACCGCAGTATAATAATGGTAGCATATAGTTGCATAAAAATGAACAGAAAAGCCGACGTAACGTCAAGCGCTAATTTTGCATTTGCAGCTTTGTAATAACCTTTTGGCCATCATCGGCAGACCAAAGTAAGAATATGTGGTACAATGCGTAACTACTCGGACTAAAGATTGGTACACGGTGCAGATGCTTTTCGGTGTCAAGGAAAGCCGTTTTTGCTACGACTTGCTCGTTCGAATGGATCATGTGTCGGGGCCCGGCGTTCACATTATTCACGCCCTTAGCTTGTTACACGCAAGAGTTCCGAGTGTTCGCGACCACAATGATATCATGAAGGTTATTGTTAACAGACTGAGAGCGTTTCAAGAGAAATCTGGCAATGCTTTAATACAGGCAGTATTCGTATCTGGAAAACCTTAAACTCAATACTCACGTACCCAGTTTCTGGTGGGACTCATAGCTACCACTGATCTCTTCCCCTCAACATGCACTCCTTAGCCGACGTGGTAGGAAAGAAAGGCTTATAACTCATTCTTCCAAAGTTGTAGAGGTGTGTTATTTCTATTAACAAGCTATTGTACGGTGTTTTTGCTAACCGTGTGCTTAGCAACTGTAGCCACGTATCAAACCAGTCATGTAAACCTCAAGTAACAATCTACAGTATTTCTCATTGAGTGAATTACGAAACCGAAGAAATCACAAACTTGTTATTTTTCATAACGGCGTATAGTTTTCCAGAATCGCAAATTACTCATTCTTCAAGGAAAGATTGGAAAACAGTAAATGTATCGTATCTGTCGGACAGACTATATATTGGATAAATATCCACTGTTCACAGTATTTGTACAGACCGAAAGGATTGATGTTAATGACATTTGCCTATTTGCAGGTGGAAGACTTGACTCAGCAGAATGTAATTTATTTACTGCGTGCGTATTCGAATTAGGTAACACTGCGTGAGTTACTTCCTGAGAGCAACAGGTCGGAGACCAGATGACGGACGAATGTTCTTGAAATTCTGCGGGGAAAATAAATAGACTTGTTATGCGGCCCTCGATAAGTGACAATATGCAATATATTAGACAATGTAAAATCAAGTAACTGCAATATATCTACTCATTCGACAGACTGATTCAAGTGAACTTTTCTCCTGGAGGAAACAAGTTGATGAGTTAGTATCATTGCCATAGAGCGTAGTATGATTTGATTAGTCTATAAACTTGTGTTCGTTATACTGATTTGCTGATTTCTTTCGATTGATGTGAATGCGTTTACGACCGATGCACCTTGAAACATAACGTACGTTACTTCTAGAAATGACTGATACAGTTTGAAAAAAGTTCTCTGGATTCACCCATTGCATTCAGTGAAAGATGCAGAACAGATGCCTAAGATAACACGAACACTGGTGTGGGTCCGCTCACGATTTAATCCCAACTCACGTAACCATGCAAACGAGGAAAGGTATCAAACCGCTGGTAAGCATCTGTGACAAAGTACCATTCCACTGAAAACGCAAATACCAAGAGAAGTCAGAGCAAGATGCCACTAGCAAGTGTTCACCAGAGGTAATAGGCCAACTATCAAGAGTAGTAGACAAAGGTCCCAAAGCAAAACACTAGCAATTCACCTTCTGATATGACTTCTTCATCAGGGCTTTATGATATGTCACTGATATGGATATGGCTGTATACAGGTCTACAATTGGGATATTTGGTAAGTTAATTTGTCTCAAACAGTGGCCAAGCTTCAGTAATTTCTATTTGATTGTGAAGAGACGATTATAAGGGTAATACAAGTACTCTGCACGGAGGTTGTTAATCCAGCGGCCCGCATTAAATTCAGATGAATGCCACTTGCGTGGTTGCCTGTTGGTATGCTTATAAACCAACCTTGTTCACACACACACACAACGAAGGGTTAATTCTGAAGTCCTTCCGTGACCCTGTTGCAGACTTAGCATGTATGCCCAACACTGCTGCACTTAATAGCACGTAGGATCACACTGTTTCCACTACCAGCCTGACGTTCCAAAATAAGTCATCTATGCGAACTATGTGACGTAGGATATACTGAGAGCGTTGCGATAAGTTTGGACATGAATCAGCTGCGCCTCGGCGAAACTAGCTGAGCCTGTAGTTTTTGCAAGATTATAAATTAGCATGTGAATAATTCTGGCAGCTGTTACATTTCCAAGGTTTGCTAAGAGGGTCGGAAAAACTTTCTATGTAATCCAATACTCAAACATTGGAAGATAAATGAAAGTGAGAACAGGACATATATCACACTGTGCAAATACCAACCAGCGAGTATCAGACATTTAACCGTACAAAATGCCTTTACTATGTTTAGAACATCACAGTCCGTGAACAACGCTTTCGAAACAGTAGTAATGGCGCCAGGCAGAATTAAGCACAACCAAATTAATAGGGCAACATGAACACGTGCATATAACATTTGGCTCACACTAAGTTGTTTTTCCTGCCCGCATATTTGTCACGGTGTTTATACAGAACACCGACTAATCCGCAGGTCGAAAAATCAGCGTAACGTTCCGATTACTTTGTGTTATATAAACTTGAAATTTGTGCTCATAGTTTTGATCATGCAGTAGCATGATATGGTTGTAAACATTTTGATCTATCGCTTTTAAGGAACAGCCGCTTGCATCGTCGAAAAAATTTGCCACTTAGTTATTTGTTCAGACGTATAGATTGGGCTGATGATCGTTGACTTGTTTGAGAGAATTCACTGCGTCACCTGAAAAGAAAATTAATCGATAAACGCTGTCCATGCCTCACTTAAATAAAGGGTGAGGACAGTTTCCTTCGCAACCTAAGTCGCGAGAAACGTGAGTATTATCTCACCTAGCTGATTGCCTAGTATTTCTCATGCTTTAGCAGGGAACAAAACTGCGTGAATTTACAAAATGAGTACACTTAGATTACACCCACCACATATTTCTCTATGCGGGTCCCTCCATATGTAGTCTTCTGTAAAGGTTGGCTCGCGCGGTATCCTTGCTTCTTAGGCAATCACACAGAAACACACTCAGACGGGTGAGAAGAGATTCCTTTAAGTCCTGTCTCTCGGCATATTCATGATCCGCATCGAAGAGAGGCTACGAAGGTAGCAAAACACACTTTGAATGACAAAGGGAATTTTTATAACCATCAAAGTGAACGTCATTTGGAATGTATGGCTGTTTGTTACATTAAAATTGTTACTGCCAAAAACTTGTTAAGGGACTGTTTTCATATATGCTGGGGTTTCTGTGACCTGCCGTGCCTACAACTTTCTGTGAAAACTGGCCGATTTTAGGAAAGTGAAGGGGCTGAAACTTTTATGCTGTTTAGTGTAGATGTATACTACGTGCGGTGTACTGAGCGTAAGTTAAATATCCTTCATTATGATTGCCGGAATCGTGATGCTAAAGAGACCATGTTTGATACAGAAAGATAAAGAACTGAACAACATTAATGACAGCAAATGTGGCATATCTACTTTAGCATTTAATAATGCTTTCGTCACTCGTTTGACGCCATGGACAGAAGGCAGTGTAAAATCCTTGGAGATACTATGATTGTCTGAAGCTGGCAGCCTTGGGTTACACCCAAGTTTTGGGAGTCAACGCCAAACTATCTTCGTGACCATTAATGAAATCTGAATGAAGGAGGAAATTAAAACAAGTAGCTATTCGGCAAATATGGTTTGCATAAGTTGGAATATACAACTTCTTTATTTCTGGTAACATTTATTAATATTTAGCTGGAAGCGAGAGCACTAATAGTGCCGGAGCCAACCAGTGCTAAGGTTAACTAGCTGTGAAATATTGGGAATATGAAAGCGACAGGCTAAGTAGGCACTGTATCCAGTGACATCGTTTTTGTTAAAGTGGTACAGATGTTCTTAAGGAGGGTTTCAGGGAAAACATTTGTTATCATAGGTATGCACCTTGCAAATCAGGTGACGCTTTCTTAAACTCTGTTTTCACGCAGAATTTTGGCTAGTATGATGGGGTTTACTTCACAATTAATTGCAATTAGACGACAACTATAATGCTAAAAATTATACCTCCACGAGTATCAGTTTTGCATTTTGCATTTAATAAATGTGCCAGTGATATGATGCCTGAATGATCAGGCAAATGAATAGCTTACCTCAGGAATAGATACACGAATATTTCTTTCGGTATACTAGATATTAATATCCAAATTAAATGAATTTAGTGTTTGGCTAACGTTCCTGTTGTTGGGATTATATAAATGTGCGCTATCCATGGTGGTGGTTTAGCCGAACGAAAGTTGGGGTTTACTGCGTCGTGATCAAGGACAAAATAAAAAGTAACGCGCAGCTTACAAGCATGCTATATTGTACTCCTTTCTCAGCCAGTGCGGACACAAACTTTGCCGTGGATTGGTATGGCACAATCGCTGTAAATGAAAGTATAGATGGGTGAGTTTAATGTGTATACCATTTACAATTGCTGCGTTGACAACCATGCAAAGAGTTTTCGGTAGATTTGACTGAAATATCTGACTATTAGCGAATCTTGAAATTTACCAGTTATATCATGCGGCGACAGTACCTGACGGAAAAGTTCTACGGTAGTCTAAAATATCTGAACATTTGGGGAGAATTTAACCCAAGTGCGTTAATGTGCTTTTGCATGTTAATGTATCCGAAACGTGCATAAGCCCACAGGCTGTGTACTAGGCTTAAACTATAATGATAAACAATAAATTATGTATTTTTGTATTCGGCGATGGGCGTCTACTATGGTTGATCCGGTAACTGAAATCATTTTCTGACAGATACAAATGACGGGAAAATGTAATAAAGCTCACAAGTTCACCAGTAATATAATTGATTTGTGTGTGCAGTAGGGTTACAACGATATGCACTGTCCCAGATCCACCTTAGTCTGGGTAACTTGAATTGATAAGTTCCGCCTGTTTGCCCAAAATTCAGTGTTTCGTTTGCACATCTTACTACCGTCTACTGCCCGAGCCTGGCGGCGCAGCCCTCCTAATGCATCAAAGCGTAATGCTTGTGATGCACTAAGTGAGAAGAAGCTATGCCATGAACGACAATCCTAATGAAATACAAAGGGAATTCGTTCAGTGAATTTTGTGCCGCGACACACGGGCTAATTCTGATTATAACACTAGATGGGGTATTTGGGAACACCGGATGTTGAGCCAGATGGAACACAGCTACCGCTCATGTTTATCAATGAGACTTCACTAATTGAGTATTTGCTATGGTGCTTGTGATTACCAATAGCTTAAGGAACATGGCTGTTAATGATTCTGCAATCCCAACCCATGCACTGTTTTATTATGGTCGTCCGTTGGACTTATGTTTTTCTAATCAATTTGTGGTTGTTCATACACAAGTATAGATAAGTGCATGTGAACGTATGTGGTTATTCTGTTATTCAAACTGCCATTGTACAGTTGCCAAAATAGAGGCTTATGAAGCAAATTATGTGCCCGTTCGTCTCCGTCGGGCTGAATTCGACAGACTGTCTGTCGGACGGGTGCTCGCACATGAAACCTTCTGTGCGATATTCAATGCCTGGATGTACTCGATGTGAGTGTTGACAATGTGAATACCTGTCGAAAACGCTATACCATTATTACCTGCCTCAAACTACTCAGAATCTTTGTTAGGAAGGAACGTACGCACAGTTCTCATGAGGGTGCAAGGCTCAAAGAATGGTCCCATGCATACAGTTAGAAACGCGTTGCGGTCCAACCACCGCTTTGCGTACGTCCAACACTCACGGTTCCCAGGTGGACAATGGAGCAATCAAACAGGAATGCTGCTACTGTGTAGGCTGAATGAATGTGGGCCGGCTGCGTTGAAGAAACTTGGCTCCCATTCACATCCTCCTTGTCTGATTCCTTCGGGTTTACACTGGATATGGTGTATGTGGTTGGAGCTGTGGACGGTGTAGCGCAAGCCAGCCATGGCCCCTCGGTAGGAGCATGGCGTCTTGTGGCGGGCCACAGTGACAGGCAAATTCGAAAGCGGATGCCGTCAACCACATATAGAGTGGATGCTTGCAAAGCGAATGAGCAACAGGTTGTAAAATCTACCGCCAGGTCATTTTCTAGAAAAAGGTAAACAGTACCAACCTGCTTGTGCTACGTGGAAGTCTTACTGCCAGCCACTGCTTGTACCATTGCTAAATGTTTACTTTGATTTCCTTATGCTGCTTTCAAGCTAGGTGTGTGTACTGTAGAGTGCAACACAAACGTACCATTCTAGTGAAAAAACACTGCAAATTTGTTAACGCCACTACCCTACCAGCCTCCGAAATGCTAATAGTTCCGCCATTTGCACCGGTATTTATACGAAGCTGCAATCGGATGCAAGTTGTTTACCGACATTATGACAGATTTCTCTGCTTATCAAGTTAAGCTTATGTTTTTCACTTTGGATAAAGCCATCTTCCAACTGTATGCAGTTTAAACATTTGCTCATTCTCCTAACGCGAAGGTCTTGATGAGTTTGAGAACGCCCGAAATCTATATATCATAATTAAATAGCCACACTTGAAGTGTGTAATTTAGCCATGTTTCTAGGCAGTTAGTTAGCTAATATTATCCGGATATTTGACAAATGTTTTGAAATTTTCTTTGTGAAACCAATACCTAAACTCTCATTTAGGTAGAGACCGTTTGTGTATGGTTATAACGAAAGTGCATATGTAAGCACAGCAAAAATGCGCGCATTTTGGTCATGTTGAATGTTCGCCTGCTTACTCAACTATCGCTAAACGTTGGAGGTATAATGCTACCGATTAAAATGAGGATCATGCTTTAAATCCAATTAAAGCAACATTTTGTAACAGCAAAGTGCGAAGTAAAATGGGTAAGAAAATAAGGCAACAAAGTGGACTCGGTTACATAAATGTGCCTAGCGGGAAAGACATGGACTATTCTCGAATAATGTGGTTGCCCTAGTCAATGAAGTGCGTGCAGACAACGACTTTGCAGCACAATCCAGTGTATACTCTACATCATTGGATATTTGTTAAACTGCAATTATATACAAAGTGGATTGCCAACGCATAACTACTTCCTCCATGCTGTTCCTGTGTCGATGTCGAAATTTTCGAAGTTAAGCATACCTTAGTCGATACCAATTATTCGAACAGGAGTTATGAGGTGTAAAACGTTTACGTAGCGTAAACAATTTCAAGACCATAGGGAAGTACAGGGCAATAGGTGTGCAGTTCTGGTCATAGATGGCGTGTGGGCGTTTCCACTTAGCTTCTATAGCCTGCTGGCATAGTGTTGACGGCATCCAGTTCCGGATTTGCCTGACACCGCTGTCTTCATAGGACAGCCACAAGAGGCTTGGGCCTAGAGAGAGACCATGAATGGCTTGCGCTGAACCACCCACGGCTCCCTCCCCACTTATCGTATGCAGTGTGATCCCGAAGGAATAAGTCCGGAAGGCTTGTGGATGTGAGCTAAGTAGCATCAATGGAGCAGGCCTATACTCATTCAACATCTATGTCTATCTATGTAGAGAAGCATGCGTACCAGATGTACCCAAGGCGGTGGCTGGGTCGTGGTCCCCTCCACACTGGATGTAACCACTTTTTGAGCTTAGCACGGTCATGAGGACGGTGCACCCCGTCCCACCGGAAACGATTCTTAGTATCCTGTGATCAGTGATCGAGGTGAATTACTTTCGACAGGTGAGCAACTTGGTAACCTGAAGGGGGACTACGCCGTGGATATCAAGCACCCAACATAGAATTTGTTAGAAAATAGACACGCAAAAACGACACGGTATATACTGCCGAATAGAAGAACTAGGCAAATCAAACGAAGTAGACTATTCGCGGTGGAATGATGCGGTAGTGACGCAGTAACTTTGTGGACGCGGAAACGTTCTACTAGACTAGTAGGCGCCTAAGCGAAGCGAATCCTCATGCACGGCGTTACTGCATTCCATCGGACCAACAGTTTGGACTGGAGTTACTCCAAACATGCGATCAACAAAAGAAACCAGGTACGATATGTGTGGCTGGCCAAATCGGAGAGGCTTCGGTTGTGTGTGCATCGATCTTGTGAACGAGGTCGTTATCTAACATGCAATTAGTCGCCTACTGAATGCACATCGGCTGTATCCATGCGCAAACCGACAGCCAGATATGATAACTGAGGCAAAACGAAATGCGTTCAAATTGGTTGACATCAAAACGCCGATGATGGCTTGGTTCAAGATCCCCATAATTAGAACTTTGGTTCAGCTATAACTAGAACCGTTTCTTTCCACAGGATACACCGTCCACTAAGACTTGGCTTTTGATTTATTGGCGAAATGAACACTAGGCAGAGCGGACCATGGGTAGCAGCTCCGCTGGCGACGCATTGCAACACCGACCAGGCACACAGGCCTACAGTCACGTTTCATTCACAAGACACACCACATTTACTAGGATCTAGTGGCGACAGTTGTGTGGGCACATGCAGCTTAAACAGTTGAATACTTCCTGAGGTGCATATAAGTTGACGGGTGGCTCTGCCCCATGACACCGTTTTGGGTTGTTCATTGTCATATACCATTTTCACTTTAAACTGAACTAATTTTCAACCATATTTATGCTCGGCGAATTTGTTGAACAATTGTGCAAACCGAAATTGACTTTCTGCAAATCAAACTGATCCTTTAGCAAATTACACTGGACACTGTTTATGTGAAGCAAAAAGTCAGCAATTCTTTTTGTAAAGAATGAGGCGTAAGGTGCATGGATATTGTTCGGGTGACTTCGCAATCAGGCTAGCGCAATTCAATTTGTGCAAGCTGCAGGCACCGCCGCTAACCCATCTCTTGATCATGAGTATCGTTTCGCTTAATCAAAGACGGTGACTCATTTTTTGTCCCGTCTTCATGTCGGCCTTCGCGTGTTCTGTGTGTGTGTGGGGAACCTAAGTAGTTGCGCGATTAGTAAAACATATTACTCCATTAAATTTAGCTTAGAAAGAAGCCGAAGGCTGGTAGATGTGTGTATTTTGTATTGTCTCCTCAGTACCACTAACAATAACAGACAGGCGGGTCCGTTGTTATTAATGGTACTGAGAAGATAATACGAAATGAATGCGTATACCAGCCTTCGTCTCTTTTCCATGCTTTCCAAAATTTTGCCGGAAACTTATTGCTTTAAATCTAGCTTAGCTTTATCAACCTACTGCTGCAAGGATGGACTGAAATGCGCGACGAAAGACGAAAAGACGCATCTCCGAAGCAGGGTTGGTACAAACGACCTTTAGGGTTGTGGAAAGTGATCCATATCAAGCTTGAGTCTGTCGACGGCGAAACCACTTACAAAACTACCGAAGTCGCGGATGTCAAAGAAAACTCGGCCGCAAACACCAGCAAGCACACAGGTGAGAAGCTTCTATTACTC